GAAATATAAGGAGATAATAACAGCATCTTAGATTCTTTCAGGCAGAAAAGATAACCAAATCTCTGTTAACTTTTCTCCTTTTTTTCTTTTCACTACCCGGTATTGAACTCAGGGCCTTTGCACTCCTACCCTTTTTGACATTAAAAAAAAATTTTTTTTTGAGACAATATATTGCTAAGTTGACCGGGGGACTTGAATAAACATTTTGAATGTAGCTCTTTAGACACTTTTTTTTTTTTTTTGAGACAGGGTCTTGCTATGTAGTTCAGGCTGACCTTGAACTCATTCTGTTGTCCAGGGTGGCCTCAAACTTGCAGCGATCTTCCTGCCTCAGCCTCCTGAGTGCTGACACTTTTCTAATGCATACTTTTGTTTCTTTTTACAAAAGTATGTCATTGTACATGTTTTACAACCTTCTAAATTAAATATCATTATAAGCTTAATAATGAATGAGATTAAAAGAATTTAACCTTATTTACCACATGGTGTTTTACTCTGTGGGAAATGAAATAGATTTTATTTAGCTCAGTGAAGTTCTTTTTCTTTTTTTGAAGTTTTTAATTATAACACATGAAATCATATGTTATAAAAACTTTGCCATAATATTGATCAAGTTGCTTTAGTATATACTGCTTTTGTAAAAAAAAATATCCAAGTTGTATCTGTACATAATACAAATGTAAAGATGTATAAATGACTTACAATGCAACTCTCTTCTTCACTCCTTATTCTCTAGAGGGAAACTACTTGGAAATATGTATATTCTTGTTTTAAGGTTTTTTTTTTTTAATTTTTGGTACTGGCGATCGAACACGGGACCTTGTGCCTGCGAGGCAGGCGGCAGAACCACTGAGCTAAATTCTCGGCCCTATTTTAAGGTTTTTTTTTTTGTTTTAAGGTTTTTGACTTTTATATTTCTAAGTATGCTTCTGCTGTTGATTTTAATACTTTAAAATCTTGCTAATGTGGTAGGTAAAGATTTAGTTATAATTTTGTATCTTTTCTCCTTTTATACATTGATCCAGTTCCCTGTTGAATACTATATTACATTAAGAGATACATATTTATTTCTTTTTCCAGCAATATATTATATTTCTGGTTTAGTACTATGTGTGATAAAGATGTTAGTACCTCTAGTCTTCCGTTTGTCAACTCTGCTCTCCCAATCCTTTTAAAGGATTTTTAGCCTTTGTAATGGCTAAAATTTAATTTTTTTTCCAACCATAAATATGTCCTTTTGTTTTGCTGTAAAATAAGTTGTCAATATTAAAATAATTTCTACATTATTATGACCATGTAGATATTTTTCAGTGTGCAGTGAAGTATATGATTATATTTACAACTCTTTTATCTGGCTTTCTTGCCTCTGAGTTTGTAAGGATAGTACAAAATTTCAGTCCGTTTCTTTGCCCTCAGATACACCCCAAAGCTTTCTGTCTCCTTTTAGTCTGAATTGTTTCTTAGATTTGTTGCCCAAATGCTGTTTCAGCATTTCTTATCTTACTCTCCAGGATTGCTCCCCTGTTTCTTGGATTGTATCTTACTGTTTTTTTTCTCCATATTTTTATTTTAGTAGATAATATCATGCATCTTCTTGTGTAGAAGTTAATTTTCCTTGTCTTTGCCCACATGAATATGTTATAAACCTGTGCTTACCTACTTACTTGGCAGAGTATAAAGAATTGCTTTTTCTTTAGTACTTCAGTGACTTTTTCTTTTTTAGAAATTGATGTCGCTAATGAAAAGTTTCGTTCCTTTCCTTTCCTCTCCTTTCCTCTCCCTTCCTCTCCCTCCCTCTCCCTCCCTCTCCCTCCCTCTCCCTCCCT